TTTGGTTTGCGCAAAAGAATGTTCAACTTCTTGGGGATGGAAGGATAGTCAGCATAGTCCTCCAAATTAACAATGTTGTCTATCAGCAGCTCTTTTAACTACTCTCCAGTCTGTTGCTGGGTCTTACCAGCCTCGTCCTATTTTTGCTTCTTGGACAGGTCATGAGCCGAGAGCTCGCCCGACCGTTTGGCAGCATTGGCACCACCCCTTTTTGCAGGAAGAACTCAAGGCTTGGTCCTACACTGTTCATTTGAAGTCATATCTTGCCTTCTTCTTTTCTTTCCTTTCTAAGCATGAGTGCAATACAGCGATAGTGTATCGCAGTTGTCTTTAGGATTTGGAGGGCACTGGTGCTTTATCCTGCCGTCAGGATGCAGTCCCAGACTCGCAAAACTTAACTTGTCAATACCTGCAAACCGACAGACATATACATTTATAAATACATGTAACGATACAGGAACGCACAGCAAACATGAAAAGTAAGATACCGATACGACAGTCAACTATTTTAAAATAACTAGTTCTTTGTATTTATGTATGTGCGTTTACAGTTAAGAAAGAAAGAAAAAGAAAAGGAAGGCTATTGACATAAAAAGAGCCATACCAAATTCGTCAGTCCAGTAGAGACCGACATGAGACAAAGGGGCGTTGCCTAGAATATAATTACAGTTGGGCAGCCACACCCCCGGTACAGCTTTGTTTTTACTACCGGCGGTTACATAAGTACGGTTAAAGAAATCACAGGCATATTTCTCTAATTTACCTAACTTTATACTTCTAATGGTATCAAACATGCTATGGGGAGGATAAAAAAAACTTTGCGAACCCTCCATCCAACCCTTACAACTAGTCAGTTTCGGCCAAACTGTACATTTGCGGGGAGCCGTAAACAAAGACCAGATGCCTGGTGATTGGCTGTCTTTCTTGATCCAATGTAGCTTACGGAACAAGTTTAATGTTAGAGGAAAGTCCATAAAAATCATTACCCAAGCAAGGGATATGATATTGCAGATAGCAGTGGGAGTTAACTGTGCCACGCACACATTCCAGGCCCTTAAGATCTTCTCAATGAAGGGATGTAAAGGAAATCTTAACCCGAACTCAAAGTGTTTTGCATAAACCACAATATGACCGTCAGGGCAGTCGAGAGCAACCCTCCAAAGGTAACTTCAGATCATAGCCGTCAGGGAGGTTATAAAAATGAGCCCCAATGCGACAGTACTCTTTGTCGGTGGCCTTCTGGAGCCATTCTGGATCGATAATAGTTGATACAACTTTGAAGTCCGATTTCAATTGAAGGGGTTCCTGGTATTTAGGGTCATCATTTTCAGAATCATACCCCTCGTCTAAGCTTTCCTCTTTTAATACACCGTCACTTCTCTCGGCAGCCTCACCCTTGCGAACCCTTATGACCATCTCACTAACTTCTGTTTCTTGACTGTTATTTTAACTTTCGGCATTCCCAGCATCATCATCACCACTCTCACCTCCACTTTCATCCTGACTATTGCCCACTCTTGGATCACCCTCTTCATATCCCTCTAGGGACCTTTCAACTGAACGCACATGCTCTTCCCCAATGTTAGATGTCTCCTCAACTATAGGTTCCTTACCTACCCGACGCTCAGAGGTCTCGGCCTCATGAGGCAGGTAACTAGTCCTTTTAGTTCTCGGCATTGCCGTGGTTTTACGACCTATCTTGCCTAAATTTGAACCGTATTCAATGATTTCATATGTTGATTCCAACTGTTCACAAATGCTTATTGGCGAGATGCAAATGATTTCAATGTCTTCTAAAATACTAGGCCAAGTAGGCTGACAGGACTTTTCAGCTTCTTTCTCTGGAACTGAGGACAAGGGTGCAAATGGGTCAGCCTCGTTGGCCTTACCCGCAATCGAGTTTTTCAGAAATTCAGGCATAAATTTAACAGGCACACAGCAAACCCACCAGAAGGACGAAAAAAATCGACTATAACTCTAAACACAAAAATAAATGGAAAAGTTAGGGCTTTTTACCTCGTAAAACGCTCGAATTTTGCGATAAGGATCTTAGAAAAAGCAAGGAATTAGAAAAGGTAGCAGAAATATTTCTTCGAAGAAGACGATAGGGAAAACCTTTTTTCCAATGATGAAATTGAACGACGAAACCCTCGGAAAAGTTCGCTGAAGATAATTCGAGAAATTTTTTAGAAAACAAAGAGCAAATGATGAATTTCTCTTATTTTCGAGGCTTATATACCCCGGTGAACAGTGACCATTGAGTTGACAGTTTGTGCATGCAATCCAACGGCTAGGGTAAAAGCCTTTTCAACACATGGGTATAGGATGAGTGACGTGTGTCCCACTACTTTTTGATTTTTACCGCCCAAACCATTAATACAATTTAAAAATGAAATACACAAGTGACCAAAGCACTATCGGTGCTTTGCTCACTTGGGGGGCAAATCGGAGATTTTCAAATCTTAGTTCATTTTTTAATTGACCAAAGCACTATCGGTGCTTTGCTCACTTGGGGGGCAAATTGGAGATTTTCAAATCTCAGCCAATTTTTTAATTGACCAAAGCACTATCGGTGGTTTGCTCACTTTGGGGGCAAATCGGAGATTTTCAAATCTCAGTCCCATCTAGCTTCACTAATTCTAGAATTTAAGTGAGAACGCCAGTTCTACCGCCTCCTCACTTGGGGGGCTAGTTGTACGGGAGGATACCGGTAAGATGTTTTAATTAGCCAGTAACACTATATTATGCCGCTAAGCATCTATTAACTAGCATTTCAGCTCAACTTCCATAACGGCCTTCCTCTCGGCCACGTGGAGAGCTACTCTGGACCACGTAGGCACCTGCTGCCTACAAGGTCGGCTTGCCACCTATCATTATAGGTGGCACCAGCTTGGTTGTATTTCTATATATACCCAAGCAAACATCCATCGAAAGGTACAATCTCTCTCTCTAAAAACACTTTCTCTCTCTTCATTCTTTCTTCTCATCAGATTGCTAACTTTAGCATCGGAGAGGTTATTCTCGGATAACCCCCGGGTTAGCTTATCTGTGTTGACTGTGCAGGTGCATAATTGGACGGTAAACCTTTACCAACCCACGAAGATTATCGGCACCAGAGCTCACCCGGAACAATGTCATGCATCAAAATGAGTTTGTTCATTTCTACTCATTTGTTTCAGCATTTTGGGGTTGTGCCTTTTCATCCTCCACTTGGGATTACTCTTATATTTCAGTATAGGTGACTAGCAGCAACTTTCCTCTTGTATAGTTATTTTTTAATGTGACTTACAAAATTTCGGATCTTTTACCAAAACGGCTAATTTGACAAAAGTATTTACCAAAACGGCTAATTATAAAATGTAATTCCCAAACTAGCTAATTTATTAACTTGGAAGGAATTTATCTATTTTTTTTCTTTGAACCGGTTTGGTTCACTTTATTGATTTTTTTTTAATTTTTTTTTTTGTTTTATTTAAATTTTCTTAAAGATTTTTTAAGTTGGAAAATTTAAGCAATATACAAAAATATGGAGTATGTAAACAGTGGCTGAACCCTAATTTCGATCCAAAAAACGCCCTAATGATCAATCACAAAAATTTGGAATTTCAAGTAGTATTGTTCTATCAAGACTTACGCAAATTATAAGACGATAAGGGAAATAAGTATTGTTCATCTTTTTCGGAGCAAATAAAATGATTCCATAGTCAACAGTTGTATAACTCTAGTTATTTACGAAGTATTATCAAGACTTGAATCTACTCGAAATAACTATGGCATTAGAATTTCCCAAAGAAAAACAAATTTCCAAAATTTTTTAAAAAGCTATTTTTAAAAAAAAAAATAAAATAAAAAAACCCATAATGTGAACCAAACCGGTTCAACGGAATATAAGAAATAGATAAATTCCTTCCAAGTTAATAAATTAGCTAGTTTGGGAATTAAAATTTATAATTAGCCGTTTTGGTAAATATTTTTGTAAAATTAGCCATTTTGGTAAAAGATTCAATATTAATTTTACATCATAATTATAATTTTATGATGTGGATCTCTCAAGACTCTCACAAGGCTCGCAAGCTATAATAATATTGAATCTTCGGATTTTAATAAGAACTAAAGAAATTACACGAAACTTAAAAGGATAGTACTCTAATTCTTGTAGGAATAGAGGGTCTCTTCCTAGTTGCAACTAGAAGATGATCACAAGTCGCAACAAGTGATGTTTTTGATTAACAATCAAACGAGCAACGCTCAAAGGATTAATTCCCATAACAAATCTCTCTCATTCTTTAACTATTATTGATATACACCCATATTTATAAAGTGACAAATCGTACAAAGATAAGATAGGAAACTAATAATTATATCCTAAAATAAGATAAAATATTAAGAATCCTAATCCTAATATATCTACTAATCATATTTTAACCAACTACTAAACTTATCCTAACATAAATAAATTAAATAAATAAATATCCTAATGGCTAAAATTCTTAAAGCCTAAAAATAGGAAAAATCCTTTCAAGTGAAAGGTAAAAACCCATAGGCAAAAATCCTAATAATTAATAATAACTAAAAGATAGTGTAGGCTTTCTTAAAATTCCATGAATTTTCAAGAATACCCATATTGGTCTATTGCTCCCGCATCACCATTTGTGTATAATATCTTATCAAAATTATATGCATATAGACGATAAATGTGATGGATGTTGTGTGGTGTGCAACATTCTAAACTTTAGTTAAACTACTTTAAAATAACGCCCACATAAAGCAACAACCTTTTGTCGTCCAGTGACTAATGTTGTCATGTAATTAAACCATAACCTCCAACTTTATTACGTATTCTATCCTCCATTTAATTTCTAATTGATTAATGGGTCTTAAGAAAAATTACAAAATTACACAGGGATGTAATAAGGTAAACAAACATTTTGAGGGATATAATGGTCCATGCGCTATTTATAAAAGCAATCTTCTACTTTTATAGGGAGCAATCTCTTACTTTTTACAAGGTAGGGAAACGTGGGTTTGATAAAATTGTATATTTCCATATTTAAATTACACCAATTTCTTTGAAAAAGTTAATAAAAAAAAAAAAAAATCTTTATCTATTAATATTACGAAGTTTAATACAGTAATAATACTCCTAATAAGTACTCCGTAGTTTGCAGTACAATTGATCTCCACTTATTCATAGAGTGTGTCCCCCGACAATTCTGGTAAAGTGAGTTGAAGAAAAATCTGGTCAAGTTTCTTCCAAACAAAAAGAGGAGAGATAATGTCTGAACAACCAGTTAACCTTCGATGCCAGAGAATCGGCTGCAATGCTACCTTTACGCTCGATCACAATCCAGAAGGTTCTTGCGTTTTCCACGATTCGGTATTTTCTATTTTTCATCCCTTTATTTCTTATGTTTTTAATTTGATCTGCTAAACTAACTGTGCTGTTTGATTTATGTAGTCTAATTTGGAGTTTTGCACCTTTTATTTTGTGTGGAATTACATCCAATTTGAATGCAACATATCTCAATTGTGTTAAAATCTATGAGCTTTAGAGAAGTGAATTTTTATTTTTTTTTAATTTTATTTTTGAAATTGAGACTATGTTAATTAATTCAGTTATTGATTGGTTATTAGGAGGTTATAAAATATATAATTGAATGACTTAATTGATTGTGATTTAGGAGTTGTTCAAGGAACGAAGGAAAAAAGGAGGATTGATAACTTATGGCAATATTTTGGTTTTTGATTATGTATATGGCCTTGTGTAATTGTGTCTAGTGACGAATCTAGCAATACCTTTGCCTTTCAACGGAGTTAGGATTGATAAGTAACTTAGGCGGCGGTGTTTGGTGGTTGTCGGAAGGGGATGGTGGTGGTTGTTTCTAAGGTTAATTAGTTTCTTTATAAGGTTTTTAACGAGAGGCAGTAGTTTTTATAGATTGAATATATTAGTTTTTCCAAGGCTGAGAATAATTTTCCTTGATTTAGAAAGTAATGCCACATTCTTCATCTGCATGCCTTCATGTCTCCTGCCCGTAAACCCTTTTCCCTTCTTCTCTAATCGCTTCGGTGAGGAACCGGGTATACATTATGGAGTTTAGGCTAGTGTTAGGCTGCTAGGCCAGTTCTCAGAAAGTAATAGTCTTTGGTATAGATGATAACTTAAGAAACCATGAAACTGATGAGAGCTGATTAGCTTGTCGTTGAGGGCGTTGTTTGGGTCAAGGCTTCATCAGTTATCCTTTCTTCCCTATTCAGATATATTAGTAAATGATTGTGGTTTGATCTTTGTTAGCTGAAACTTACAAGAAGGGATTAAGGGAGCTAATTAGCTTGTTGACAAAGGCCTCACTTAGGTCAAACTTTTCTTGGGTAATCTATTCTTCCCTTGAAGAATGTTAAAACCAGGTTGTTTGTTTCGGGTTTGGGAGAACTGCAGGACTCTAGACTCTGGAGTGAAGAATCGTTTGACTCAATTACCTGACGTCCGTTCCCTATCCCTTCCCCTTGTAAAGGGAATAGAAATTAGGAAGTGGTATCTATAATATCTTCAATAATTGAAATCTGTCTTTATCATTTAAAGGATTTATATACTCTCTAAGATGTTGTTCTGCATTGACCAGCAATGTCTTTTTTTTTTTAATCCCCCCTCTTGCAACTGCTCTTTTTCGTTTGGAGGAAATATTTTTCGCTTGATTATTTGGAATTTACGTATGGTTGAATAATTACGTGCAAGCTTGAATGCTTGGGCACTGTAACTTGTAGTTGTAACTGACGTATTTTTCATCTTTATTGCATATTGGCGCTGGACTTGTTCGATTTCCTTTTGTTTTCAGGGAGTAAGTGCCTCCTCTCTTTTTATCTTATATAGTTATATCATTTTTTCTATGAGATCTTTCTCATTTTGATTCTTGTTCCTAATATTTTTATATTACTAATATCTTTATTTATATACATTTTAACTTAATAAGCCTCTTTCTGTAATTTCAGCCTTTATTTCATGATGGAATGAAAGAATGGAGCTGTTGCAAGAAAAAAAGTCATGACTTTAGCTTGTTTATGGATATTCCAGGGTATGTCTTTGCCATTTCCGATGTACATTGCATATGCATTATTATTGATACCTTTGTCACTTGCAGTCTCTAATGTATTCATTGCATTTTTATTTCCACTGCATTGCATAGTTCGTTATTGATTACAATAGATTCATTTGGTTTTCCTCAATTTTTATTTAATTTTTCATTCTTGTGTTGTCTTCTTTTCCATTGAAGATGCAAAACGGGTAAACACACAACTGAGAAACCTGTGCTCACTAAGCCTGCCCCAAGATCTAGGAACCCCACAGCTGTTCCTAGTCCCATCTCAGCTCCTACAACAGCTACATCAGCAAAAGAAACTTGCTCTAGATGCAGGCAGGGATTTTTCTGCTCAGACCACGGTATTACTCTCTTTGTGTGTGAGCTTTTTATCTGGGCAATAGTTGATGCTCTGCCTTACTCGTAATACCAATTTATGGTTGGAATGTTGTGAATATATTTTTGTCTTTCATATTTTGAACTCATTGGAAGTGCAAAATTAACAGGGTATTTTGTTTCTTTCAATCTCTGACGTAACAACTTACATCTTTTCAGGTTCACAGCCAAAACCTAAACCTGTGGTACCACAGGCGGTCACTGCTGCAGAAGTGACTGTAAATGCTTCTGCTCATCCCCGGAAGACAATCAGCATAACTGAGCCTCAAGTTTGTAAGAATAAGGGTTGCGGTCAAACTTTTAAAGAGATAGATAATCATGATACTGCATGCAACCATCATCCAGGGCCTGCTGTTTTCCATGACCGAATGAGAGGAGTGAGATTTCACACCTAGTTTTTTATGCAAATCTATATTGCAGTTTTGTTGTCCATGAATACTAAGAGTGGCTTTCTTGTGTTTGCAGTGGAAATGCTGTGATGTTCATGTGAAGGAATTTGACGAGTTCATGAGCATTCCACCTTGCACTAAGGGATGGCACAATGCTGATCCTTCATCCTAGAAAACGTGTTTTTGCTCTTTCCCATGAAGTTTCATGACGAGTTGATCAAATTCAAACTACCTGACCTGCTTTGGGGGACTAACTGTTCTTGTAATTTATGTTTAGCTTCTGCCTTTTATTTCAAGCTATTCTTACCTTGATTAGATAGCAGTTTCAAACTTTTAAGAGGTTCTGCCGTGTTTGATAGCAACAGCATGGAAACCCAAACTGTGAAAAATGAATGCCTTTATAGGCACATTTAGTAGCTCCAACATGTTTCGGGCATGCCCCGAATTGAGCAATTTATGCCTGTTGTATGTTGTAATATCAATTGCAGACATGTCAAGCTGAAAAGACATTTTCACGGAACTGGGACATCTTCACCGTGTTGCAAAGGGTTTTTTAGGTAGCATTTTCTATGTGATGCTTACTGACTAAACCAACTACAGAAAACAATAAGAAAAAGCATTTATAATACCTCAATTGGCTCAATATAACTGCAGTATACCTGTATAGGGCAACTTTTTAACTAGAAATAACTGCACTCATTTCTGCAACATATGGTTCAGCAAGCACAAAATTAGGTAGCAGCAGCAGCTACCACATCCACCCCCCTTGTTACTCGTCACAACTCCTAACCCGACCACTCTGCCTAAAAACAAAGCTGTGACACAATTCAGCTTCATCCTCTTTCAGATAGCGTATTTAGCTCACTTCCTCAGCCATTAGGCCCATTACATTCATTTTTACTGTTAATTGATCTTCCACAAAGACATGGCACAACAAGACAGTAGCTCTAGCTCCCAGCTTCCCACAGTCTTAACACATCCTTAGCATTCATGCAACATGTTTTAAAATACTATCATTGCGCGAATTCCTCAGGCCTTCACGTACCATTGAAAATAAGGGCAATTTATCCCCTTAACAATACCTCTGTAGCTAACAATTAAGCTTTATCAACACGGATAATTTCCCAATTGCAATGAAATACATTAAACCAAAATTTACTCGATATACAGTAAAGATGAGATACAGTAAAAATTTTACTCATTAACTTACACGTGTTGCGGTGTTACAACAAAGGTTTCAACAAATTGAAAAAAAAAAAAAAAAAAAACTGTTTAACTATCTGTATCAAGGAGAAAACCCGCTATAAAATAACAGCATTACTAGAAATAATCTTCTAACTGATACCCAGGCAGTGTTACTTTAAAATACCAGGAAACCTATGTAATCTACTCCAAATGCTTTGCAGAAAAATAATTGTTACAAACGAGGACTCATCCTTAAATTTCCTTTGACAAGGTAATTCAGACTACGGAGTTGGGAATCTCTCCCTCTTCCAATTCTTCCACGTCTGCAAAGTATACATTAGTATCTACATGGTCCCCTGCTTCACCATCAGGTTTGTAATTAAGATAGTCATCCGGATTGTTTTCTTCCATGAGGAATGAATATGCGTCAATCAACTCTTGGTCGAAATCAAAATCCTCATTTTTTGCATCCAACATTTCAACTTCCTTGACGTCACCGGAAAAAACTTCATCGCTTTCGAATTTTTGTCTCTGGGACTTATTTGGTGAGTCATTAGATTGCTTGTCGATCTTCTGAAAATCAATCAAGTTTGTTTTGCGCGTATCCGCTTCTGATCTCTTCAGAAGATCGATAATTTGAGGTTCAGGAGCAGTTTCATCTTCTTTAATCTCTTCCTCTCTAAAAGTAACACCCACTGGACTTGCAATATCATCCTTGTCGGGTCTCTTGGAGTCCCGCCAACTTGGAAGGGGCCTGACGTCTTTAACAACTTCAAAATCATAGCTATCAGACGGAAGGAAAACACGAATAATTGGGTATTCCAAAATAACTAGACCGCCAAAAAGTTGGTTCAAAGGTGTATCTAAATCCAGCTCACGATATGGTGCTTTGTTGCCCTGCAAACCAAAGTTGACTGTCAGATGGCACTGAACAGCTTTTAACAGAGCTAAAACTAGGATACTGTCAAGAAAACAACAAAGAGGTCAAAATTAAGAACCTTATGATATTTACGTATAAAAAGCTTGAGGTTGTCCAGTGGTTCATCACAAAATCTCCTCAACTTATTTTTCCAGGGGCTAGGCTGTAGATGCTTCTCAATTACTGAGCGCAACGTTGTGCTTTCATGGACACTGCACAGGTATATATTAGAAAGCCCCATCACTAGATGTGTTAGAAATAACATGACTCGTGCACGAAAACCAAAAGGTCAATTTTCCTGAGATACACCCCACAGAGGCTTTTACCAACACAGGATTGAAGACAAAGAAGTTTGTATTGAAATATGATAAGAGAAGTATAGATACTCACCCATGTTCAAGTAAAGCAACATCTGTTGAATTAAATCGCCATTCAATTGTCCATGAGATAGATTTCTTCCTGGAAGATAAGTAGAAGTGTAGAACCATAAATAACATGTCCACAATACTCATCCTTCACAATGCAAAAAGGTTATGTCTAATTGGAATATACTAACTCAGCAGTTTATTATTTGACCTTTCATGCAGCCATACACAAATTTTTTACCAGATACCTCTACCGAGAGAGGAGTATTAGCAATAAAAGTAAACATCTTTTATGTATGAAGGGTCTTTAAAAATCAAATATCCAGTTTCCTAAAGTTGCTTATAAAGATGGACATTTCCTAAAAGCATAGCAACAGTATATTGGCTATTCTTTCTACCTTCATATCATGATTGAAAATTACCATATTCTACAATCACTTCATTCACTTGAAATCAGTGCCTCAAAGTTTCCACACCACATCTAACCTCCTCGAGAAAATGAACTAGATGAACTATAAATTCCTGTCTTTTTGTTACCAACACAACAACCATGAAATTGACAACAAACTTTAAAACATGAGAATACAAAGGCAAAAGGAAAGAAACTGAATCATCAAGCCTCAATCATCCAGCAACTCGAAGTTACGATCTTTTTTTAATGAAGGACTACCTATATCTCGAAAGTTGAATACCAAATTCTTCTGGAAGTGTGTCACAGTATATAAATGATTACCTTTGATTATATCTTGTTTGATTCTTCTCCCTCTTAGCCATTCCAGCAGGAAGTAACAAAAGCTTAGTCCCTTTTCTCGCCGCAGCAGTCCGAAGGGCTTTAAGATGGAAAGGGAGCCTAAATTGAGGATGATGACCACATAACTTAACACGCATTCTCTGGGCAGATTCAGCTACCCTTTTGACATCCTCTAACAAATTATAATCTGAACAAAACACACTGCCATTATTGCACAGTTTATCAATGTCAATTTGAATGACAAAATCAAACCAAAAACAAAAACAAGAAACAACCAAAACTAGAATAATCAAAATCCACAAAATTTTGCTAATAGTAATGAAAACTAAAATTTAATCAGCAAAATTAGCTACAAGTGATATCCCAGAATTGAAATTTAACTAAATTAGCAAAACCCAGTTGCCTAATAACATCCTCCATTAAAAATTCAACAAATTTATAATAACATAGCATCATAAATATATGACTAACCATAAAAATGAATATTTTTTAAAAAAAATTGGTAAAAATACTAATAATTGGAAACAATGAAAGGGAAGAAGGATACCAGAAAGAAGGGTAGAATCGTCAAATTGAGAAAGGGGGATAATCTGGGAGAGGGATTTTTTGCCAGTACAACCAGAAAGTTGTTTGTGGGAATTGACGCAAGGAAGGCTGCAAGTGCGGCGAAAGCAAGCTGGGCATTTATACTTGAATTCTTTAGAATTGCATTCTTCGCATAATACTTTTGCGACATTTTTCTGATGATTTTCAGAGGATTGAAGCTCTGCTTCCATGGCTACCATCATTGGAGAGAGAGAAAGAGAGACGAAAAGGTGTGGGTTTTAGCCAGTGTTAGGGTTTATGACCTCCTTTTTTTTCTTTTCTTTTTTTTTTTGACACATAAAGAAAACGAAAAATCCCTATTGGACCAATGACGTGTAGTTGCATAACTTACTTTGAAATACATTGGTTTTTTTTTTTCAATGAGGTATTCCTATACAATATACTACTCCATCACCTCAACCTCAGCATAAAACAATACAATGTAATTTGTCACCAATTGGCTCTTGATGCGTGGTGATTAAGAGAGAATACATGCAATAATTAAAAGGGGATTGAAACCTAAACACCTATTATTGATTTCCGAATTCAAATTAACCAAAAGAGTAAACGGGATGGAACACCAAAAAAAACATTGTCAATTTGCCAACTTAGGCCCCGTTCTTTAAAGCTGCTCTGCTGAAATCTGTTATGATCTGATTAAAAATAATACTAATACTAATAATAATAAAATCTGCTCTACTTGACTCTGCTCTGCTCTGCTTCAATTTGCTCTGCTCTAAAGGACAAGGCCTTAATAAGTTTATAAACTTATTGACCGCTTGATTAATTTAGTGGCTAAAACTTATTGATAAGAAATTTACACAAATGAGTATAAGAGTATTATTGTATTTTTGAGGAAATATATCTCTCTTTTAGTCATTTTTAGTTAGCTCTATTGCGTTTAATTTTGATTATCTTTATAGATTTAATATGATTGAAACAAATGGTACATTAAATTTTGAAAATTCAAGTTAACCCTCACTTTCTTATCATAAGGTATTGGTTTCAATTCTCATTAAATTTGTGTTATATGAACATTATGAAATATGGTTAATTAGTTGGTTGGGGTTTCAATTCATTTTACATCACCAATGCCTTTTAAATTAAATTTATAACTCTCTATATAAAAGTACACTATAGAGTACAGTATGTTAGTGTGCCATCAGGGTGATCTCCCTTAAGCGTGTTATTCTAATCTCGTATTATGGTTGTGTGTACTTGGTTGTTTAATTAGGGTTGTGGGTTTTGGTGTGATTCACTTCATTTCATTAGTAACTCAAATTGTTATTACCTTAATCTTCACGGTTTGAATGATTTAGTATTTGCAGGTCAGACAATTTGACCGTGAGGGCCGAGGGGAAAGACTATGGGTAAGGGATCCCCCCCTCAAAGTGTGTTTAATGAAAATTAAACCCCAATTATGTAGTACGGAGTACCATTTAAATACCGTATAAGATACGAGTATAATTTCCGAAGAAAGAGAAGTTATTTATATAAATAGTGATTATTTTCTTACAGCGGATCCTCCCAAGTACGAGTACGTATCATCTTTCATTCGAGCATAGATCACTCCCATTTTTCGCTCCTCTTCAATCTCCTATCTTGCGATTATCAGGTATTCGATTTCGTTATTTGATCATTGAAAATTTGAAATCTTTTGCTATTTTTATTTCCTGCATCAAAGATTTGATCTGGATATCTTTGTGTTTTTCAAT